AGATTTTATTTATTCACGAGAGAGAGAGAGGCAGAATGCAGAGGAAGGGGCAGAGAGAGAGGGAGAAGCAGGCTCCCCGCTGAGCAGGGAGCCCAACTTGGAGCTTAATCCCAGGACCCCAGGATCACAACCTGAGCCAAAGGCAGATGCTCAACCCACTGAGCCACCCAGGCACCCTGAATGTTGACATCTCTTGAACACCATTGTTAATTTGGTGACATTGCTACACAATGAGTCCCATCTTCCTCGTCAGGAATCAGATATTCACTTTGCTAGCCACCCTTGCAGCATATGATTTAGGCTCTACAAGTCAGACAAAGCCATGTTTGTCTCTGTTCAGTAGAGAGAAACATGAAGAAGTCTACTTCTGGTGAGGGTGGTGAGGAAGAAGATATTTAGTTTTCCAGGGCAGCAATGATAGAAATTCTGGAACCTAGAGCCCAGCATTGTGCTGTGACTTAGGGAGTCTTTGTCCAGTTTCAGTAGCTATCAGGGGTCTTCCTTGGAGCAGTCTTGTGGTGGGGGTTCTGTTTGTTCTTGCCTGTAGCCTCTAAGCCTGTCTTTCTGGGTATCCTTGAGATTCTATGAACTGGCTAAATTCCTTATATAAATTCTTTTTTCTGTTTCAACTACCCAGAGTGGATTCCATTGCTTGCAACTAAAAACCCTGACTAATTCACATGGTAAGTGCTATCATAAACAAAAAAGAAAAATAATCACAAAAATAAAAAAGATATCTTTGACATTCAGCTACAATAAAAATAAACATGTGATTCAGAGTAAAGAATGACATATGCTACAACATGAATGAACCACAAGGACTTATGGTAAGTGAAATAAGCCAACTACAGAGAGACAAATACTATATGCTTTTACTTACATAAGGTATCTAAAATAGTTAGATTCAAGGAATCAGAGTGGAATGGTGCTTGCCAGTGGTTGAGGAGAAGGGGAAATGGGGAGTTACTAATCAATGGGTTTTGATCAAAATGAATAAGCTCTAGAGATCTGCTTAGAGCATTGCACCTACAGTCACTAAAAACATATACTACACTTAAAAATTTGTTAAGAGGTCTCATGTTAAGTGTTTTTCCACAATAAAACAAGATAAAATTAGAAAAACAATTACCATGTACTCATGCTATCCAAAGGTATGTCTAATTTTAAGCACATTGGAGAACTTAAAAATCTTGATAGTAGCAACTTGAACATACCATCTTTATCAGCAGTGTCTTGAGGCTTGCATTTTAAAGTGAAGATCTTCCGCAGCTTACAGTTAGCTGAGACAATAATTCCATCCAATGACTGGAAAACTGCTCCCTTGAATATTTCACTGGTAAATGCTACCAAGTCTATGCATAGATTGCACCACTAAAATAAAGAAAAGAAGAGTAAGTACTTTCTATAATCACAGAGATGAACAAATCATCTATATGTGGATAGTCCAGAGAATTGAGGCAATTGTCTGGATCAACCAGCCCCAAATCCTCCCTTAGGCAAATCTCTATTTTGGCTTCAGTTTTCTTAAAAATTGCCTTGATTTTTCCAAAGAAGTCATCATAATCTAAACTAGACATTGGTCATCTGGCTGTAGAGTTCTCATTATAAGGCAAGATTCTGACAACTTTGGGAAATAACTCTGGATCTGTAGGCAGTATGCTAGTGGGAAGCTAATTGCAGGTGCGTTAGACCACTTAAATCTTGAAAATCAGGGATAAGTAGCCAATTGTTCCTTCAAGGGGACTAATTTGATCATAATTAGCCACTTATATTTGTTAAAAAAAATCATGGATGAAATTGGAAGCTGGGTTTAAATTGTGGCCAGTGCTGTCTACTTAAAACCAATTAACCTATTGTACAGAAATAGATTCTTGCAAAGAATTTGTAATTATGCCTAGGATTTGCCAGTTTTTAAAGTACTCTTGCAGGGACTAATTTCTGCCTATTAAACAATTAGACTCCTCAATACCTCATCAAATGAATTCTCTAAATGGAGAAAATAATCATTTAGTAAGAAATTAAGACACATTGAAGATGGCAGGACAACAACAGGGAAAAGAATTTTTGAAATTAAAAGAAAAGTAGTATTTAAGGTTGTCTGTACTTCTTTTAAAATATCAGGCTCTTGCATTATTTGATTAGAAGAACAGTTTACATGAGGTTCATTTTATTAATCTGTCAAAATTGAAAGTTATATTTATTGATAAATGAAATTATCCTTAAAGGCAAATTCTATTTAGGAATGTTGATTTTATTATGAAGGAAAACCTGAGGTGGTTTCCACTGTAGAAAAGTAAAAGAGATTGCAGTAAGTCCTTAATTAAATACATGAAGATTATTTGTAGGTGTCTCAACAGAAAATTATATTCTCAGGCCATGGGGATGCTCTGGTCTTTTGAGTGAAAAGAAGTCAGGTGGAATAAAAGGTGGGAAGGAGGACTGAGTGTGATGCAATAATGAGACCGGCTTGCCCTTCAGGGTGGCGAGCTCTGGAGAGGTCTGAGAGGTAACTGTGGGATGGGCCAGTAAGGCCAGGTTCTGGAGACACTGAATGATTAGGAGGAGAACCTTGGACTTCAGTGGGTAAGGTGTCACGTTGATTCTTGAAGGAGAATGGGACAAGAGTAGAGTGCTGGGAAGTCTGAACTAACCATAATGCAGGAATATTTGGGGGTGGAGGAAGGCTGAGGTAGAGTAGAGATAGACTGAAGCACAGAAAGACCAGTCAGTCAGTCATTTAAGCATGATGTGAGGAGGGTCTGGTAGAGGGCTAGTATAGGAGGTGGGATGTAAGGGACAAATCCAGTAGGCATGCCCTAGGGTGAATGAAACATCAGGGCTTGGTAAAATCCAGGTTACAGGGGATGGAGGTATTGGGGTTTCTAGCAATCCAACAATAATTATTAATATTATTATATTAGCATCACTATTGTTTTTCTGTGGTTCCTATTCCTAAAAGACTTGATTAAGATTATGTCTCATGTGCAATTATTCAGCTGGTTTGTCCCAAAAGTAACTGTATTCAACCATTCTTCCCCATATGTGCTAAGCACTTCTCCCAGGTGTTAAACGCTGGGCATGACTCTGACATTATAGCAAGGAATGGGAGTTCTTCCAGTCTGAAAAGGGCGGCTGGAGGCAGACATGTAGTGTCTGTTTTATACTGTTAGTGCAGAGGGGGCTCAACGTGGGAGGATGGGGAAGCTCAAGAAAGGCTTCTTTAAAAAAATTTTTCAAAATGCCATGATATTATATGCAAATATAGGCCCAAACATGCCAAATTTTATACAAAATACAGTTCTTGTCACTTCTCCACTCCTCTAATCATACTGTCAACTCTTAACTTTTCTTCTCTCTGTATTTTTAAAGAGTACCTTTTGATTTATCAATTTTAGACATTATCCACTGTCTTCCTATTATGGTAGATAAGACTTGTAGTTCACTTACCCTACTTTTTCCGCTTCAGCCTCCCTAGATAATTGTCTCCCATTCGTTCTTTTTTTATCTTTTTCCTCAAAATCCATATTCTGTGCTTTCCTTACTGTGACTATGTGAATAATGTACACAGCTGAGCCAAGTGATGCTCTATGATTACCTTTTGTTATACAACTTCTTTATATTTCTAAAGTTAATGATTGCTTTTAAAATTATCTGCGTTACTGTATTTGAATCCGAGTTTTCCTATATCTAGGAAAGGCTTAGAGGTGACATGAGCTTGGTTTTAAACAAGGAATAATACTTTCCAAATCCAGGGAGGCATGGGAACATGCTGGGCATTTCTTCTCAGGGCCCTGCCCTTTATTCCCTACTTAGATGAACCCTCCAGAGGGCTGCACCTATATACCTCATCAGACTCCATCAGCTGGCTTGGGAATTGGTGTCCTCTTCCTTCAAAAACTCTGAGTCCCAAGAAACCAGGCCCTTACCTACTACACACTTTTCTTATTCATCATAGTCAAGCTGCTGTTATTCCCCTGCCTGGACACATGCATCATGGAAAGTGCTCAACAAATAATGATCTACATGTGTGTGTGATGTCTGAAGACATACATACACATACATGCCAATATACATACTTTCAATCTTTCATTTTACTTTTTTTAAGCTTTAACTTTGATTCCAGTTAGTTAACATACAGTATTATATTGGTTTCAGGTGTACAATATAGTGATTCAACACTTCCATACATCACCCGGTGCTCATCAGGACAAGTGCACTCCTTGATCCCCATCACCTATTTAACCCATCCCCCCAACCACCTCCCCTCTAGTAACCATCAGTTTGTTCTCTAAAGTTAGGAGTTTGTTTCTTGGTTTGCCCCCCTCTCTCTCTCTTTTTTTTTTTACCTTTGATTGTTTTGTTTTGTTTCTTAAATTCCACATATGAGTGAAATCATATGGTATTTGTCTTTCTCTGACTGACTTAATTTTGGTTAGCATTATACTCTCTAGCTTCATCCGGGTCATTGCAAATGGCAAGATTTCATTATTGTTTTATGGCTCAGTAATATTCCATTGTATATTTATCCATTATTATTTATCCATTCATCAGTCAATGGAAACTTGGGCTGTTTCCATAATTTGACTATTGTAGACAATGCTGCTATAAACATTGGGGTGTATGTATCCCTTTGAATTATTTTGAAGTATTTTTGTATTCTTTGGGTAAATCCCTAGTAGTGCAATTGCTGGATTGTAGGGTAGTTTTTAAAAATTTTGAGAATCTCTATACTATTTTCCAGAGTGGCTGCACCTGTTTGCATTACTACCAACAGTGTAAGAGGGTTCCCTTTTCTCCACAACCTCACCAAAACCTGTTTCTTGGGTTGTTGATTTCAGTCATTCTGACAGGTGTGAAGTGATATCTCACTGTAGTTTTGATTCGCACTTCCCTGATAATAAGTGATGTTGAGCATTTTTTCATGTGTCTGTTGGCCATCTGTATGTCTTCTTTGGAAAAATGTCTATTCATGTCTTCTGCCCATTCTTTAATTGGATTATTTGGGTTTTTTGGGTGTTGAGTTGTATAATTACTTTATATATTTTGGATACTAAGTCTTTATTGGTATGTCATTTCCAAATATCTTCTCTCATTCTGTAGGTTGGCTTTCAGTTTTGTTGATGGTTTTCTTCATTGTGAAGAAGGTTTTTATTTTGATGTAGTCCCACTAATTTATTTTTGCTTTTATTTCCCTTACCTCAGGAGATATACCTAGAAGAAGCTGCTATGGCCGATGCCAAAGAAGTTACTGCCTGTGTTCTCTTCTAGGATTTTGATAGTTTCAGGTTTCATATTTAGGCCTTTAATCCATTTTTGAATTTATTTTTGTGTATGATGTAAGAAAGTGGTCCAATTTCATTCTTTTATATGTTGCTGTCCAGTTTTCCCAACACCATTTGTTGAAGAGACAGTCTTTTTCCCATTGAATATTCTTTCTTGCTTTGTCAAAGATTAATTGACCATATAATTATGGATTCATTTCTGGGTTTTCTATTCTGTTCTCTTGATTTGTCTATTTTTGTGCCAGTACCATACTATTTTAATTACTATAGCTTTGCAATATAACTTGAAGTCCAGAATTGTGATGGCTCGAGCTTTTCTTTTCTTTTTCAAGACTGCTTTGGCTATTGGGATCTTTTGTGGTTCCACACAAATTTTAATATTCTATGTTGTAGTTGTGTGAAAAATGCTGTTGGTATTTTGATAGGGATTGCATTAAATGTGTAGATTGTTTGGGGTAGTATAGACATTTTAACAATATTTGTTCTTTCAATCCATGGGCATGAAATGTCTTTCCATTTCTTTGTGTCATCTTCAATTTTTTCATCAGTATTTTGTAGTTTTCAGAGTACAGGTCTTTCAACTCTTTGCTTGGGTTTATTCCTAGGTATCTTATTGTTTTTTTGTACAGTGAGATTGATTCCTTAATTTCTTTTTCTGCTGCTCCATTATTGGTATGTAGAAATGCAACAGATTTCTGTTATGCTGACTTTGTATCCTGCGACCTTATTGACTTCATTTACCTTTACTGAATTCATTTTTTGGTGGGGTCTTTTGGGTTTTCTCTATACAGTATCATGGGAACTGCAAATAGTGAAAGTTCTACTTCTTCCTTGCTGATATTTCTTTTTGTTGTCTGATTCCTGTGGCTAGGATTTCTAGTACTACGTTGAATAAAAGCAGTGAGAGTGGACATTCCTGCCTTGTTCCTGACCGGAGAGGAAAAGCTCTTAGCTTTTCCCCCTTTAGGATGATATTGGCTATGGGTTTTTCATATTTGGCCTTTATTAAGTTGAGATATGTTCCCTCTAAAACTTTGTTGAGGGTTTTTATCATGAATGGATGTTGTACTTTATCAAATGCTTTTTCTG